CCACAGGGTTCTCAGTGGATGAATTTTCAAAAGCCAATAGCCAGCCCTTTCTTCTGAGATGCCTCTGGTTAAATTGTCCCTGTCTGGAGACTTGGGCTCAAAGCTCAGAGAAAGGTGAGTGAGTGGGCGTCTCCAGCCGGTGGCAGAGGAGGAAGGAGGGATAGAGGCTAGGAGAGCACACAGCTAGATCCACGAGCCCACAGAGCACCCCCACACCACTCTGGAGAGCTGCCAGGTTTGGGGTAGTGGGAATATGTCTGCTTCCTCATATTAATCTGAGGATCCCAGCAGGACTGTGCAACAGAATGAATGCCACTTGGTCCTGGGCCTTCCCCATGATGTACTCCTAGGGTCTGAATGGGCTGGCTGTCAGAATTAGATCTCCAGGACTTTCTTCCTAGTGTCTCAGTCTTGAATCTCCTCTGAAACCTATGCCGCAGTCCAGGCACACACAAGCCTCCTCAGACAGACAGACTAAAGTACAGCATCCGGGAATTGAACCCACGTCTCCCACAAGGAAGGAAGGGATCCTATCACTGGACCACGCTGCCTTCAAAACAGTTCTCTGTGTACTCAGGGTAACCCCGTGAACAGTGGACCCAAAGGCAGCCTGGTTCTGTGCCATCAGACCATTGTGGTCTATGGCTGATGATCAGAATTAAGATTGCCAGGACTTTCTTCCTAGTGTCCAGTCTGGAAGTGCCACTGAAATCCGTCCAGCGTCACAGCCACAGACAAACTTCCCCAAACAGAGGGTTGTGGATGCCCATGAATGCACTGACCAGGATTCGAACTCAGGTCTCCTGAGTGCAAGGTGAGACTTTTGCCTCTGATCAACACTGCCCTGTTTGACCAAAGCAGCATCTTCACACACTTAGATGTCTGGGGGCCTCGACCCCATGGGCCGAGCAGAGAGGAGCTAGCAACTGCAGGCAGCCTCCCTTAGGGTCCCACAGCCTCACCAGAACTCACATGGGCTCTCCGCTGTGAATGTAGGCCCAGAGCATCTCCTCCGACAGCTCCGAGAATGTGACTCTTGTCTCCTCGTAGAATTCTAAGACTTCCGTCTGGAGCTGACGGCCTGAAACAACAGAAAGCAGACCGCCTGCATTAGCCCGTGTGTATCAGGGTGGAACCAGCCATGCTGAAAATCCAAGGCTGGATTTTCGGAAGCAGATCACTGGGACTGTCTTCTGACGCCACAGCTCGTGGAGGCTCAAGCTACAGACTTCAGTCATCAATTTGCACCAATCAGGGCCGTTGGTATTGAGACTAGAAACCAATCAAATCAAACCCACTCGGGGCGAGTCTACCACACCTCACGGCGCCCACATGTGTCAGCGTGGAATTGTGCTCCACCACGGGCTTTTCAATGGGTGTTTTCTTGAAGCTGGTTGCCAGGCTTTTCTTCTGAGGTACATTCAAGCTGCTAACCTCAGTTATCATTTACATCATCGAAGGATTGCATAGATCTATTAACCTACAGACTATGTTGTTTTTGTTACGTGCCCTCAGTTCCGACTCATAATGACCCTATATAGGGTTTACGAGGCTGTACATCTTTACAGGGGCAGAAAGCCTCCTCTCTCTCGCCCTTGGATGGCTGGTGGGTTTACAGTGCGGTACTTGTCTTAAGACACCCCGCGCTCTTTTGACAGAAACTCCATTGTTGTTGTTGTGAAATGCTATCAGGTGGATTGCAACAAATAGTGCCCTGATCATATAGGGTTTCCGAGGCTGTCAATGTTTACAGAAACAGAAAGTCACCACGTCCTCCCACACAGTAGCTGATAGATTTGAACTGCTGACCTTGAGGTTAGCAGCCCACCTCGTAACCCACTATGCTACCAGTAAGAGCCGTTGAGTTGGTTCCGACTCATAACGACCCTATATAGGGCTTCCGAGAATTAGCTGGTAGGTTTTGTACTGCCCACCCTATGGTTTCTAGTCCAGTGTTAATGTAGAGCGCCACATGTGTTTGTATGTATAGCTATGTATCTACGCATTGTCAGTGTAGTTATCTATTGTAGTTGTTAAGCACTATTGAGTCGGTTCCAATTCATAGTCACCCTCTATAGGGTTTCCGACGAGTGGCTGGTTTGAACCACCGACCCTGCAGTTAGCAGCAAAAAAACGAAACCAAATCAAAACTGTTCCTTTCAAATCAATTCCGCCTCACGGCGCCCCCGTGTGTATCAGAGTTAAACTGCACCCTACAGGGTTTCCAGTGGCAGGGTTTTCAGAACATTGCCAGGCATTTCTTCTGTGGTACTTCTGCGTACCAAACTTTAGATTAGCGGTCAAGTGCAAAAAAAAATAATAAAATGAAATAATAAACAAGTAAGTCACTGTCCAGTCAATTCCAAGTCACAGAGACTCTGTGAGATGGGATCAAACTGCTCCGTGCAGTTTCCAACCTTGTCACCTTTATGGATACAGATTGCCAGGTCTTTCTTCTGAGGGACGCCTGGCTGCCAAATGTTTTTGTCTAATAGTCAAGTGCAGAGTCACCTCTGGTTCAGGAAATACTCACTGCCTTCCAGCAGCTCCCAACTCATAGTGACCCCATGTGACCAAGCAGAAATGTCCCCTGGGTCTTCTTGGCTGTCATAATTACCGAAGCACTCTGCCAGGACTTGCTTGCTTGGCGGTACTGAGTGGATTTGAACCACCAAACTTCAGTAGAGTGTTCATGGCTTGCACCATGCAGGGGCCCTGGGGAGGGGGCTGGGGGGGACAAGGGTCTAGGTACCTGCGCGGGAACAGTGGACAATGGTAACGCCCGTGAATACGCTGTGTTCCTTTCCGCTTAACCTGCAGGAGAAACCACACGAAGGCCTGTTTCACTCGGGGCTGGGGCTGTGAGCTCGGACCCCTTCAGCTCAGTCCTATTAACGTGCCCCCCTTTCTGGCTCCCCTGCTGGTCTGAAGGTCGCCAGCAAACTTTGTAAGAGGAGTTGTGTCCCCGCAGCCCTGCAATCAAGGAGTCCTAGTAGCGTGGGTTAACGCGCTGGACTGCAAAGTGAGCTTGAACTGCAAGGTCGGCGGTTCAAGCTCAGCAGCTGCTCCTTAGAAACCCTATACAGGGTCACAGTGAGTCAGAACAAATTTGATGGCACTTTAACAACAAGAAGAAGCAGTGTAGTGGGTTGCTAACTGCAAATTCAGCAGTTTGAATCTACCAGGGATTCTGCGCAAGAGAGATGAGGCTTTTCTACTCAGAAACTCTATACAGGGTCCAACTTGGGGACCACAAGCACCACACCAGCCCCGTATATGCACATAGCTACCCTGTACAGGGTTGCTATGGGTCGGAACCGACTCGACGGCACTTAACAACAACAACAACAACCTGGTTTTAGCGTACCTCACATACACTGTGTTGTTTTATAAACTGAAGGTTCACTATTGTTCAAGCTTTTTCAGTCCCTAACTAGAGGGTGCTCAAACTGAAACCCACGGGCACCCAGTCAATTGTGACTCGTAGCGACCCTGAGGAGGGTTTCGGACACTGTCAAGTCTTCATGGAAACAGGAAGCCCCCACACCCCCCACTTTCTTTCAGCAGAGAGGCTGGTGGTTTAGAACCGCCGACCTTGTGGGTATCTAACCTAACACTTACCTTGTAGCCCCATCAAAGCATCCTTGTTAAGCGCCATCAAGTCGGTTCTGACTCATAGTGACCCTGTATACGGTTTCCAAGGAGCGGCTGGTGGGTTTGAACTGCCGACCTTGTGGTTCACAGTCCAGGGCTAACCCTACAGCCTACAACAGGAATCAGTGTTTGGGACTGGGATGAGCTTTTGTTCTGTGTGTGAGGTTGTATGGGAAGAGAGGGAGACGTCAGACAGTCTTATACCCAGTCCGTGCTGAGTCACAAAGACAAGAGGACAGAAACCTAACTTCTCCCTCCACGTTTCTTCTGCAATGTGTCTTATCAAAGGAGTGGGCTAGGCACAGAAGGACACAGCGGTGGGTGGGGACACAGAGGCCGTGTGTGTGTGGACCCTACCTCGAGAGCATTCTGTAGGCGTCCTGCTTGTCCACCGGCTTCTCAAGGATCAGGCCTGCGATCGTCTGCAGAGAAAGAGGGAGTGGGTTATCGAGATGTCAGTTACCACTGGTGAACAGAAAACCCCAAAGCAAACCCACTACCCGAGGCGGTTCTAATTCCTAGCAGCGCTGTATGACTCAGTAATGCTTCTCTTTACAGTTTCTGAGAGCAAACATCTTCATGGAAACAGCCGCAGCAGGTGGGTTCGAACCGTCAACCCTTGGGGGTTAGCAGCCCGATGTGGACACGGGGGTAGGGGAGGACATGCCCACCACTGAAGCGGGGTGTGTGGGAGACCCCGGGGACTGAACACACTCACAACAATGGTGTCAGCGCCGATGACCAAATCCGCAGTCCGCGAGTCCTACGGGAAATTCAACCTTGGATTAAAACCACGTCCTGTGAGAACAAGTCCTGAATCCGTCTTTGAACCAAAGAAAACAGGTCATCCCTAGTACGGCACACGCGTTGTGAGCATTGTGATCTTGTTGTTGTTGTGATTCATAGCGACCCCAGTAGAGGCTGATGACTTTGAACCGTTGACCACATGGTTCAAACTGATCTTGCGGTCCAGCGCTTATCCTATGGCGCGGTACCAGGACTCCTGTCGTGAAACCGATGGCAACTCGAAAGATTACACAAGAACCTTAGGGACAGTGAGTTTATGGTTCGTGGGGGAGAAACAGCTCAGAGAAGGAGTCTGTTGGACAGCATTAGGAATGTCAACAATGCCACTGAATTGTACAAACAAACACAGTTGAAATGCTCTATCCTTTGCTTTGGAAATTTTCACTGTCGTTTGGCTGCAAGTTCAGAGAAAGAATTGAGTAGCCCATGCCACAATCCACACACATTTTGTTTAGTGACAAGGATTACACTCCTCACCCACTTCCTCCCTGGGTCCCACTTTTCATCCATCCTGCCTGTCTTCTGAGCTTGATTTGGGGGCAAATGCTGCGATTTTTGGTCTCCTGTGGTTGATTATGCCGAGAGGCACTATTGTCAGGGGGTTGAATGTTCATTTGATAGGCCTGTCTATGATTTACCTGAAAGGTGAAGCCGGGGGTGGGTTCAGTTCTAGGTCTGAAGGGGGTGGAAGGGCAATTGTCTAGAAGTGTGCATACGTTCACCCAAAGGGAAAAAAAAACAACAAGAAATACAAATAAAAGTGACGTCATGGGAGTCTGTCACACACATTTACACGTTGTTGTGGGTGCAAAGCAAAGGAAGATGTGGGTCCCTTTTGGGCCCTGAACAATGGGGCTGTGGGTGCCGGAGAGGAGTCAGACTGAGACCGTTTCCACAGCCGCCTGGCTCTTCACCCCGTCTGAGACGGGGTGGTATGTGACGGTCAGGGTCCATGGAACGTCCAGGGCCTGGCCAGTGTCTGCTGATACATGCATCATGGGTAGAATTGTGTCTGGTCCAAAGTACATGCCATCTAGGCTGGGCCATGGTTCACAGTGGATTGGTGGTTACAGAATGATGTCATTCGGCAGCTGTGGGATGATGTCATTGGCAGTTATGCAATGAGGTCACTCAGCTGTTATGGAATGATGTCATTTGGCAGTTCTGTGATCCTGTCATTGGTAGTTATGAGATGATATCATTCGGCAGTTATGGAATGATGTCATTCCACAGTTATACGATGATGTCATTCAGCAGTTAAGGAACTATGTCACTTGGCAGTTATGTGATTATGTCATTGGTAGTTATGAGATGATGTAATTCGGCAGTTATGCAATGACGCCATTCGGCGGTTATGGAACAATGTCACTTGGCAGTTATGCTATGATGTAACCCTCCCCATGACTCAATCGGCCGATCATTGGAGAGGAGATTAGGTGGGATGCAATGCCAGCCACTCCTCAGAAACCCTGTACACGGTCGCTATGGGTCAGGATCCACTGGACGGCACTTAACAACAACCACAATGCCCTTACTGATGTGAAGTCAGGGCGGTTTCCCTGGGGTGTTGCGGCTTCACCTTTAATCTTACAGGAGATTACAAGAGCGAACTGAGTAGGAGTGATCGCTATCACCGAGAAAGATCTGGGAATGGGGCATGTGCATTGGACCTGGTGTCCCTGCGCTGAGACCCTCCTAGACCCAGGGGAAGAGTAATGACAAGGACCTCCCCCCAGAACCCACAGACAAACAAAACCTTCTCCTAGAGTAGACACCCTGAATCCTGACTAGTAGCCTCCTAAACTGAGTCCTGGTGTGGCACTGTAGGACAAGCAGGCAACCGCTAACGTCGGTTTAAACCACAAGGTCGGTCGTTCAAACTCACCAGCCACTCCTCAGAAACCCTGTACAGGGTCGCTGTGAGTCAGAACCCACTCATTTCCCTGTGTACGGTTTCCAAGGAGCGGCTGGTAGGTTTCAGCTGCCGACATCGCAACTCAAACGACCTCGAGGTCTAATGCATATCCTACAGCGCCACACCGGGACTCCAGTTAAAGTCACAAGACTGGCATTTCGGTGACAGCAGCATGACACAGCAAAGTCGCCATGTCAGCTGGGACTCATAGCCATGCGGAGCACAAAGGGACAAAATGTTGTCTGCACCGTCCCTGCCATTGGCTGAGGATAAGACCCTTGTGATCCACAGAGCTTTCGGTGAGGGATTTAGGGAACAAATTGCCAGATCTTTCTTGTGAGGTATCTCCGGGTGGACTCGAACCTCACACCTTTTGGTGAACTTCCGAGTGTGTTAACGGTTTACATCGTCGATTCCAACTCACATATAATATACAGGACCAAGACTTCTCACTCAGGTATTTAAGACCTGGGACTGCGCTCCAACCAGGGGCACGTGGAGCCAAAACAAACAGTGCTTACCGAGTGCATCCGGTGCGCCACCTCCAACGCTTTCTGCTTGGCTGTCTCAATGGCGTACGCATAAGGCGTGGGGAACGAGCTTTTGTCCAGCTTCTCCTTAAACCGGGAGGGGACCACTTCGAACCTGAGACCCTGGAGAGGAAGAAATGGGGACTCAGGAAGCTCTGTAGAAACAGTAACCATAGTCTTACGGAAACCCATCCTTCCCGCTGTCCCCACTGGGTCTTCGGACCCGAAATGATGTTAATTTATTCTTTCAGTTTTATTATTAGTGAGACTACACAAACACCGGGACTACACATGGAAAGCGTGAACTCAGCTATCCGTACAAGTGGCGTGTTTGCAAATAGGATTGCGGCAAACGTCATTGCATCCGGTCTTACTGGAGTGGAGTGGGTCCTAATCCTATATGAGTGAAACCAGTGCCATGGAGTTGCTAGGCAACCTACATAGGGTTTCCAAGACTATTTCTTCTCCTGTTGAAGAGGTGGTGAGTTTGTACCAACCCACAGCCCCAATGCTATATGAATAGGGTCGTTATAAAAGAGGAGACGAGACACAGAGGGTAGCCGGCTGTGTGGCGATGAGGCATAGATGAGAGAGATGTGGTCACAAACCCCGGAATACCTGGGACCACCAGGAGCTGGAAGACAAGGGAGGACCCTGCCCTAGAGCCGCCGGAGGGAGCCAACCCTGTCCACACCTGGATCTCAGACGTGTGTTTTTGTGGTTGTAATTCACTTAACACGACGTCAGATTGGAGTAGTGTGGATCCTGGTTCTATATGAAGGGGTCCTTATAGAAGAGAAGAGACAGAAGGGAGACATCCCGTGTGACAACAGGCAGAGAAGAGAGATGCGGCCACAATCCCAGGAACACCTGGGGCCACCAGGAGCTGGGAAAGAGCTCCAAAGGGCATGAGACTGCCCATACCTCGATCTCAGACTTGTGGCATTCAGGGTTGGAAAGGAAACTAAAGTCTTGTGGTTTTCAGGAACCTGGTTTAGGACCTACCAGGACACTCATACATAAATCACTTAAATCCACTTTTATGAAATGTCAGTTACTGTTTGGGGACACGTCCGGGTCAGAGATGACTGAGAGGGAATATGTTCCACACAGGTGGACGGTAAGGGCAGTATTGATGGGCAGTATTGACCAGGGCAGGGGGTTGCCAGTACTCTGTGAGGCCAAAGTCCTGACTTTGTCAGAGGCCATCAGAGAACTGAAAACACAGAGCTGATGGGAAGTTGGCAAGTATATTAAGTCGGAAGACAGAACTCCCTATCACCTGGTCCCCAAACAAGCAATGACAGAGTCCGGGAGGTGCCCACGTTCCTGGGTGGAAAAGTGGCCCTTGACTCAGGGAGAGAGGGGGTCTAAGACTGGACCACCCAACTCAGCCTTCAGGGCTCCCTGCTGGGCACCTGTCCGAGCCCAGCTTTCCTCCCACCTTCCTCCAGTGTCTCCGACCATTCACCTTCAGACAGGGGTCCCCTCCCCCAGGTCCACCTGCCCTCCCTGCCCTCAGTCTTTCCCCTGCAGGACTTGTAAACAGACCCCTCCCTCTGTAACCTCCAACCCCAGCTCTCTGACAGCTGGGCTCTGCAGGCCAGCTGCCCCCCCCCACACACACACACATAGGTCATGTGGTCCCAGGCCCTGCCCCAGACCTGAGTCCCTGCCTTTGTGGGTTCTGGACCTTGATCTTCAAAGCCGACACTGGGCCCTGACCCTGTTACTGCCCACTGACACCACTGACCTGTAGGCCCTCCGCCTTGAGGCCCTCTCCACAGGCCCCAGCCCCAGCAACCCTGATTCTATGCACATCAATCCTGAAGGCACAGATCCCAACCCCGGACCCCAACTCCTGACCTCAGTCTGGATCCCAGCTCACAGACAAGGGATACTGACCCGGACCCCTACATCCTCACCCTTGATTCTGCCCCAGGCCCCTTACCCTGTCTCCAACCGAGACCCCCGGGTCATGACGTGGGTCTTTGACTTGGTGGGACACCCAAACTTCAACCCCAGTCCCCCGACTGCCTGTCCCCACCCCTGTCGTCCCGTCCCACCCCCCACCCCGACGACCCTGGCTCTGCCCCCCACCCCCCAACCCTGGTCCTGCACCCTACCTCTGTCTCCCATTCCCCAACCCTGGTCCTGCACCCTACCTCTGCCCCTCCACCCCTATCTTCCAGATCCCGGCCCCCAGCCCTGGCCCCGCTCACCGCTTGGTTGAGGATCTCCCGGCGGCGTGGCGAGGCGCTGGCCAGCACCACGCGCTTGTGTACCAGCTTCCCGATCACCGGGTACAGCACCATGACCACCGCCTGCACCGCACCGCCGTCCGCACCACCACACGCCGTCTGCTAGGCCGCGCAGCTCCGCGAAGACCCGCCCCGAGACCCGCCCCCAGTGTATCACCCGGAAGGCCTCGCCCCGCCTCCTGGACGCCCCGCCCCCGCCGAGACCCGCCCCCAGACGAAGCTCCGCCCTCGCCCTCATTGTGGGCTCTTGGGGAAGGACCTTCTCCGCCCTCGTCAAGCCCCGCCCTGGAATAAGCTCCGCCTACGGACTCTCCACAGACAGGGCCCCGCCCCCTCCGCACCGCCCTAGACGAAGCTCCGCCCCAGCCCTCTCTTTCCGCTGGAGGCTCAGCTCAGACTAACGTTCCCAGCATGCAGTGGGTGGGGTTCCGGGTTGGCGGGGCGAAGTTGGGCGAGCGAGACCCTCCGCCGGCTCTGATGTGGGGTTCTCGCGTGTGGTGGGAGATGCGGGTGTGGGAGTCCCCATGGGAGCGGTGAGGGGGCTCTGATATGGGGGTCCTCATGGGAGCGGTCAATGCACTAACATGGGGGACCCCGTGGGAGTGGTGAAGGGGTGCCGATGGGGGGGTCACCATAGGAGCGGTGAAGGGTCGTTGGTAAGGGGGTTCCCGTGGGATGGTGCAGGAGCGCTGATATGGGGGGCCCACGAGAGCGGTGGAGGAGTGCCGATATGGGGGTGTCCCATGGGAGCAGAGAAGGCTGATAATGGGGAATCCACTTGGGAACGGAGGAGGGGCACTGATACGGGGGTCCCATGGGAGCCCTGAAGGGCACTGTTATGAGGGGGTCCCTTGGGAGCAGTAAAGAGGAAGGGGTCCCCTGGGAGCGCAGAGGGGGTGTGAAAGTAGGGTGGGGCCTATGGACCTGGTAAAGATGGGGTGATCTCCATGGGCCTGGTGAGGGTGACATGTGGGCATTCCTCTTGGGCAAGATGGGGTGTGCTGATATAGGGGGGTCCTTGTGTGTGCGGGTGGCATCAGGATTGGAGTAAGACTCTAACATGGTGAGATACGCAGATGATACAACCTTGTTTGCTGCAAGTGAAAAGGACTTAATACTGATGAAGATCAAAGAGCACAGCATCATAATGTAAAGAAAACAAAAATCCTCACCACTGGACCAATAAACATTCTTATCAACAGAGAAAAGATTGAAGTTGTCAAGGACTTCATTCTTCTTGGATCAACTATCAACACTCACAGATGCAGCAGTCAAGAGATCAGACGACATATTGCACTGGGCAAATCTGCTGCACAAGACCTTTTTAAAGTGTTGAAGAGCAAAGATGTCAGCTTGAGGACTAAGGAGCGCCTGACCCAAGCCATGGTATTTTCAGTCACCTCATATGGATGCAAAAGCTGGACAGTGAATAAGAAAGGCCGTAGAATTGATGCTTTTGAGTTATGGTGTTGGAGGGGAATATTGAAAGTGCCATGGGCTGCCAAAAAAACCAACATATCTGTGTTGGAAGAAGTAAAGCCAGAGTGCTCCTTGGAGGCCAAGATGGCCAGGCTTTGACTCTCATACTTTGGACATATTGTCAGGAGGGACCAGTCATTGGAGGAGGATATCATGTTTAGTAAGGTGGAGGATCAGAGAAAAAGAGGAAGACCCCCAACGAGATGGATTGGCCGAGTGGCAGCATCAATGGACTCAATGTGGCATCAATAGTGAGGTTGGCCCAGGACTGGGCAGTGTTTCGTTCTGTTGTACATAGGGGTCGCTGTGAGTCAGTACTGACTTGATGGCACCTAACAACAACAACTGTGGGTGTTTAAAATCTGGGGACCGCAGTTCTGTGAGGTGGGGTCAGGAGGAGTCATAACAAAAAGCAATACTTATATACTTTTTTACTATTTTTTATTAAGACATCAGAGTCCTGGGGTGGCGCTGTAGGACAGATAAGCTCTTGACTGCTAACCACAAGGTTGGCGGCTCACACCCACCAGCTGCACCCTGGATGGAAACTATGAACCAGCCAACTCCATGGCACACAGCAAACGGCACTTTGTACCGAATTCCCCACTGGACCTTTTTTGAAGGACTCGGTTTTCCCTTTATAAGGCCTTTGGTTGTCATATTATGGGCGGCTTGCTTTTGCAGTCCTGGTGAGGCACAGTAGGATAAGCATTGGGCACTTCAAACCCTCAGGTCTCTCCTCAGAAGCCCTATATAGGGTCACTATGAGGCTGCGCTTAACACTGAGGAAGAAAACCTCATCCGAAGCCTTCCCCAGACTTAACCATTCCTGTCACACTTGATGAGTTAATAGTCCTCAATTCTGATTCCAGGCTTGTCTGCCCTACTTGTTAGACCACAAGGTGGGTTTGAACAGGAAGGTCGGTGGTTCAAGCCCACCAGCTGCTCCTAGGAACCCTATACAGGGTCACTATGCATGGAACTAACTATACTACATTTAATAACAACCCTGCCCTGTGATTGTAGTCCCCTTTACAACTCAGTCACTGCTGATCTAGGCTTTAAAAAAAAAAAAAAACTTACTGTAGGAAAAGAAAACGTTTGCCACTTGAAACTTTTTTTTTTTTTTTTTTTGCCGTTAATTATATCCACTGTGTTTGCAATAGGAGCTCTGGTAGCGTAGTGGTTTTGAGTCGGGCTGCTAACCTCAGGGTCAGCAGTTTGTAACTACCAGACGTTCCCACAGGAGAAAGATGAGGCTTTCTGCGCCCGTGAAGATTTACAGCCTCAGAAACACTACTCAGGACTCCTGTGAGTGGGAACCGATTCCACAACACTCCCATTACCACGTTTTGCAACCATCTCAGAGGTCTCTAAACTATACAGTAACGGTTCCCTCCCTCACTCCCACAGGGTGGTCCTAAACATCCAACCGAGGGAGGCTGTGATACATGGAGATTAGGAGATCATGGTTGCAAAGCCTGGAGCTTTTGGAGTTCCGGTGGTTTCCAAAGCAGAACTTAGTCACCGGCATCATCTGGCTGCCTACTGGTCTCGTTCTTCCTTCCAAGACCCTCCCCTAATCTTTGGGGAGACAGGGTCCCACAGAGTAGGGCCCCCAGAGCCAGCACATCTTACACCTGCCTACTTGGTTTAACAATGTGAGCTATATCCTGGGGACTCTCATTGTGAGACCCCAAACCATGGGTTTCTGGAGACCACAGCTCAGAGATCCAGGTGTAGGCAGGGCTGGCTCCCTCCGGAGGCTCCTTCCTCAGCTCTTTTAGCTTCTGGTGGTCCCAGGTATCCTGGGCTTGTGCCTGCACCTCTCCCATCTCTGCCCCTCTTCACTTGGTCAACTCCCCTCAGTGTCTGTGTCTGTCCTCTGCCCTTTCTCACGAAGCGCTTCTGGGTGGACTCGAACTCCAACCTTCCATGTAGCAGCCAAGGGAATATGTTTACTGTACACTACCCAGGAACTCCATATAGTGAGGGTTCTACCCAGGCTCATGGT